ATGGGAAAAACAGAAGTGCCTTGGAGGCTTCAGAGGGTAATTGAGGAAATATAAAAGTTGTTGGAGGGAAGCTAATAATGTAAGTTGAGGAAATATGGAAGTTGTTGCAGTTTCAAATGAGGCATGTATTTAGGGAAGCTAATAATGTAGCTGATTTTCTAGCATCATATGCTGTCAAAACTGATTGTTTCACTGATTTTTCAGAAAGTGGTATTCTGCCACTAGATGGAAGGTTGGTTATGCATCAGGATCAGTCCAAGATCCCTACTGCTAGGAGGAGGAAGATTGTGTGTGGTGGTCAGTTTGATTATGCAAATCCTGGATAGGGCCACGGTTTTATGCAGTGGTTCATGTCCAGCATTATGTAGTTTGAACCTGTTTTTGAAAACTGGGAAGTTGGTCTGTGTTGCTGGATTGAAAATTCTGGGATGTCATGGAGCACTGGATTATTTCTGTAAGGAAGAGGTGGTTGGATATGAAGCAGTTGCATGGTGCTTGCTTGAGGCTTGGGTGCTGATCTGACATAAAGTTTTTCAAGTTCAGTGGTTTTTTGCTATTTTGACAAATTACTGCTGCTCTAAATTATGTTTGGTGTTGTGCTAGATTTTAGGAGCTGACTTCTGAAGTGCAGTTTTTTTAAGAATAAGTGCATGTTTAGCATACTATTGCAGTCTGTGCAGTGCTGATGAGTAGCAGGTGAAGCTGGACTGTTGTTGATATGCTGCGATGGAATGATGTTCAGAGGGAACTGTCTGCTATAAAGTGTCAGGAGTTTAATGGATCAGGCACTTGGACTGTGGCCTGATTGTTCTGATCTAACTTCAGTCTAGGCAGGTACTGATTTGTTGAGTTTGGAGATGGTATTTCAAGGCATAGAACTGGACTGCTGGAGTTGTTCAAGTTTAAGAGACATTAAATGTAATTAGAGATGATTTAAATCCTCTTGAAGGATTAAAGTCATTTTTTCTATTTTTAGAACTTCTTGTTTTTTGATTCTTGTAATTCATTCTTTTTTGGAAATAAAATTTTGTTTTTAAAAAAAAGATGTGAAATGTATTAAATGTGTTAGTTTTTTTATTGAATACAAGTATTAATGGTGTACAAGGGAAAAATTTTATTGGAATATCATTTTTTATGAATTATTTTTAAAAAAATGAACTTTTTTGCGAAGAAATTAAAATTGTCGCGAAAAAATGTAGGAACAATTTTTTTCGCGAATGTTTTTTTCGTCGCTAAAAGGTTAATTAAATCATTATTTACATTTTTTATTTATGCAAAATATTATTTGCGACGATTTTTTTACGTCGCGAAAAATTTATTAAATTATTATTTTTTACATTTTTTATTTATGTAAAAAATTATTTGCGACGATTTCTTTATGTCACAAAAAAATAATTAAATTATTATTTTTTACATTTTTATTTATATAAAAAATTATTCGCGACGATTTTTTTATGTTACAAAAAATTAATTAAATTATTATTTTTTTATTTTTTTATGCTAGTGGAATAGATTTTAGTTATGTTTCTTGAAATTTTAGCAACTTTTTTTTTTCATTGCAAAAAATAAATGGCAACGATTTTTTTTAATTTAGCGACGAAAAAAATCGTCACAAAAAATAATTTTTGTTATAGTGATATCAAGGTCAAGATCTAGAAAAATGAAAGGATCATCACCATTGATATTTGTCTTCATAAGTTGTATCTATGATTGAATATGTCTCACCAATCTTCGCTTTGCAAAAAATTCTCCATTCCTTTGAAAAACAAATTGTCATAGTTGTTTTATACACCTTGCTCATCCTAGGATCTGGAGCATGTCCACCATCCTTGAACCAAAAATCAAGCCAATTTGAATGTTAGGGATGATTATCCTCTTTCTTTATTAATTAAGGCAAAAACCTTCAACAAATAGAGGCAAGTCACTAGGAGAGTGTCAGTAACAGAATCTCTCAACTCATTCAAGCTTAGGATAACATCTTCTAAATATTTGCAACGGATTGAAAAACCGCTGATGTGTCACATTCTCAAAGTAAGATTTCAATTTCTTCCACACTTGTAACAAAGGTATTTATTTGTAGACACCAAACTTCACAAAAGGCGTGATACATGTAGCTAGGTCAAAAGAGGTTGTATGCACAACATAAGTAAGTTCGTCAAAACCCTTATCTAATAACTTGTAGTAAATTCATTGGGTCCACTCTCAAAATCCATTCAAATATTGAATATCTCCTCTCGAGTTCAGTGAAAATCTTCATCTCGTAATTCTCTGATTGATCAAATCAGCAACAAATGGTTTTGGAGTAACATGGTCTTTGGAATGATACAGAGGCACACAAAGGAAAGGTTGGCTATCTGACTTAATTGTGTCACTTTTGTGCATGTTCGTTGGCAAAGAATATTCACTAATCACTAGCATATGAAGTTCAAGTTTATAGACTATTCTTTAGCGACTGTAAGGACCAGTCATGAGCTCAAAAACTTTGAGTGATAATGTTGATAGCTCATTGGTTTTATAGTACTTTACTATAACAATTGGAAAACACAAAACCTTTCCTTTTTGAACTGGATCTTCCGACTTTGCAAATCACCCATCTTGAGGTAAGTTCTTTCTTTGACTTGACATTTTTATAATGTTTCCTGATTTAACTTTTTAAGAGGAGGTCATCTGAAAAATAAATAAATAAATAAATTTGAAACAAAAAAAAGCGAGAAAAAAGAATAAGGAAATAATAATAAACCTTGATGATATCGAAATAAAAAATAAAAAAATAATATGAATAATAGATACAGAAGTCACTTAAGACTGTTACAAAAATCATTGAAGTCTGCCACAAAAGTCACCTAAGTTGATGTAGAAATCACTTCAAATTGTCATAGCAATCACTAAAAATAAAACTCTTATAACAAAAGTCACTTATAATTAATCCAAAAGTTATGAACTCTTGGAACGGAAGTCTTCTAAAATAAAATTCTTGAGAAATTTTATTTAAAATTAAAATTAAAATTCTTAACATCAAACCAATGTCAAATTCTTGGAACAAAGTTTCCTGAGATAAAAGTTTTGTCCTGTCCTCTTAATTTGGGAGAAAATCTAAAAGTTTAAAGAGATTAAATAAAAATACTAATAAAAAATAATAAAAATAATAATGAATACTTTCTTGGAATCAAACTCTTAGAGAAAAATTGCCTAAAAATAAGATTACCACAAAAGGTCACATTCTTAGGACAAAGTTAATCAAAGGTGAAAACCTCGGGACAAAAATAACCTAAAGGCATAAATTATGCTAATCAAATTCATAAAAGAGGGAAAAAAAGCGAAACAATTAAAACTAAGATGATAAGAGACTTAACCTTTCGATAAAATATAATGAGAGGAGTATAAAGAATTCAATGATTTGTGAAGTCTTTGGCAAGTACTTAAAATATACATACATACATATATAATAATAATAATAATAATAGAACAATCAAGAGCAAAAAATAATCATAATAATATTAAAGAGGAATTTGTTACTACATATAACAAAGCCAAATGGCAGAAGATACAAAGAATAATAATAACAATAATTAAAAAAGAAGTTATATCTTACAAACTTGATTCAAAATTCAAACCGACATTTAAATTGCGCATGGACTATCCCGTTGACCATAAAACTTTTGAGTGCCCATAGCTTTGTAATATAGACATTCTTATTATATGTACTTAAGTTAAAAGAGAAATTTATTACTATAATCATAGATGAATTAAAAATCTATATTTTAGATCTATGTATTTGAGTAAAAATATGACTTTTACTCTAATCATAGATAAAATGGAAGTCTATATTTTAGTATCCATGTATTCAAAAAAAAATAGAATTTAGAACACTATATCGGTAAAGGACTACATAATAATATATTTATAAATTAAATCAAATTCCTTTTAAATAAAAATACAAATCGAGACTCATTTACATATTAAAAAAATATTAAATATGCAAATAAGTCTCGAGGGGCATTTGAAAACATTAACAAAAATTAACAAATTAATGTTTATAATTAGGCTCAAATTGATTAGATAAATAAATTTGGATTGAATCTAAATTTCATTTAATAGACTTGAGTTGGACTTGAATTTAACAACTCAAATAATACAAGTCCAAATATAATTAACCACGCTTATTAAATTAAATTAAAATGACTTTCAATTCCATAGGCCCAAATTCAATAAACTTTTAAAGGTAATGTGGGTTGGACTTAAATTAACTATCCACAAATTTATGAATAACCCCACTATCTAAAGTTCATATAAGGGTATTCAAGTAAAAATATTCTTATAAGAATAATTATCACTTTTATATAGATAACTACTCTTACAAGGTCTAGAGGAGGCCAAAGGGGAGAAGGAAAAAGAAGTTTAGGAGAAAGAAAGATTAGCGAAACTCTACCCACCCGAATCCACTTTCAGCCAAAAGTGTTGCAAGTTCATCTCTGAAAAGAAAAGCATATTCCCAAGGACATTCTTCGAAAAATTTAAATCATCTTCAAACTATTCATTTAACGAACAATGAAGAGATTCATCAAAACTATCATCAAATCAAAGAACGAGAGATATGTTGATCTAGCTCTCATATTCACTTGATCCACCAAAGTCACCGTCAATTGAAGATTGAGAAACACTCCAATTCGGTTCTCGTCTTCACATGATCTACCAAGAATCAGAAGATAATACACGTGAGAAGAACGTCAAAGAAAGTCAACACTACTTCTTTTACTTAAAGTCAATTAAATTGATTATTGTAATTTGACATTATTTTGTGTCAATTTATACCACAAAAATTTGTGATTACAAGTGTCACAAAACATTCATTTTTCTCCCCGTTGTTCCTCGTCAAGGAAAATCAGAAAGAATAAAAAACAAAAGAAAAACGGTAAAGTGTACAGTTCAGCAATCAAATCTGGAGGCTGATCACATAATTATCCTCATGATCAACAAAATCTCTTTAAGTCCCAACATCATCAAGACCTTTTATCTTGCTTGTTGAGTATCATTGACATCGGAAGCGGCCGCAAAATGAACCATGATGCATGACCACTATGGCTGGAAAAGCTCACTTCATTCTCAGCTAAGGTGCAGCGTCTATGGCTTGGTCCAGGAATGAACGTGCATGGATTGCTACCAGACAACGGACCAGAAGGTCCAGAACCCTTTGAAAGGGACTGAATGAGGTGAGTTTTCTCAAGCCATGGCTCTCCCTCTAGTGTTCTCATTGCCTGAATTTCTCGAAAACCCAAACAGAAGATCATAAGAAAGATCAAGAAAATTGCAATGTAATTATCTTTTTGAAAACCCATGTTTGAAATGAACTAATCAGCACATAAAAAAAAAAAGAAAAGGAAATGAACTAATCAGTGGTGTTTTGGGGGGTGTGATTTGAGACCCTTTTGGTTTTTGTGCTTCAAGAGGAGATGGGTGGACTTGGAATTAAGTTAGAGAGTTATATATACGAATATGGTTGGTTTGTAGTAAACTGTGAAGCCGCGCTTTGAAGTTTGACAAGGAATGGTCTAAATCAAGCACACGGAACCTTTGAACAACACAGTGTGTATTTTATGAAACATAGAACCGAGTCTTCTGTTTGGCGTGCAACGTTTGTTTGACCCTTTTATGCAAAATATACACATGTTTATGTATGCATTCAGAGTGTGCTGCACAAGGTCATCCATTGTGAGAGTGAAATGGTGAGAGAGTGATAGATGAAAATGGGAGAAAGACCAAGAAAAATAAAATCTAATATGGGTAGGAAGAAAAAAAGGGCATTATAGATATTTTTACGTGGAGCGGACGACATACACTTTTCTCTTTTTATTAATAATAATTTATAGATTTAATACATTGTGACCATTGAATTGATAGTAAAATACATTTAATGCAAATTCGATAATCACAATTATAAAGCTTTCAAATTTTGTCACAGTAACATTGCTCCAATATGGGGAGAGAGAGAGAGAGGCGGTTTGACATGCAGTCAAGTTTTGTACCCGACTCTAGGTTGGGAAACACTTGCGGGGCAAAAAATAGGTCGATTAAGTATCGAAATTGAAAAACGGAACTTAATAATGTACTGTTGGCAGTGTAGTACTTTTAATCTCAGTTGTATTAAGTTAAAATTCAAAATTTATGCACTAAGATAATATCACTTTGTTTGATTTAGGTTTTGTAAGAGGCAAAAAATCGAGATTACCTCCTCCTAAAATTGAAATGTTTATGGGTTTCTGAATTTGATCTCCCAATCTTCTTTTTCCTGTAAAACGAACAAACTGTCCAAGATCGAAGTACTTCGATCGAATGCACTCTGATACTTAAGTCAGTAAGGATAATGAAACGAATGAAAGAAGACAAGGAGGGTTCAGCCTACCTTTCTTCTTGGCTCCTTTTGCTTTTTATAGATGGTCATCTCCTTAGGGTTATCGTGATTTTTGATTCAAGGTAGCACACGTTCTTTCAATTCAGTAATTCGATTCGTTTATCTGATTGCCTAAGTTATAGCTCGTCTTGGTTAAATAGATCTATATTCTTGATCACGTGTCTTGTCTTGTCAACATCACGTGAGCACATTTAATGTCATGTCACATGTAATCATAAGGTTTAACCCCTTCAGGTTTTTTGATCCAATTTTTTCATTAGTGTAATCCTTAAATTTATTTGGTCTCACTAATGAGCAAGGACAGACCTATTAGTGGGCTAAGGTAGGCTAAAGCCCAGAGTAAAAAAAAAAAAAAAAATTTACCACTAAGTATCAGCCTACCCCCATCCCAAAAAAAAATCCCATCCAACCCAACCCAATTTAGTCCAACTGCAAAACTTTCCCAAAATCAGTTGAGTCCTATCCAACCCACTTGCAAAGCTTTTCTCTCAGGCGAGTCCCATCCCCAAATCTCCGGACAAGCAACGACGCAACACACAGGTGACTGTTGCTCTTGGTCTAATCCTTCCATCAAATCTCTCTCTCTAGACTCTAGTCTCTACAGATATATCACATAGGCCACAACTATGAGGATTAGGAAATTTTTTGCACCATCTTCTCTCTCTTCAATCCCTGACTTAGAAGCACCACCTACAAGGTAGCAGTAGCATAGAACCATACCCGAAGAAGAATGAGGAGGGTAAGTTCGACAGAAAACAAGCAATGGAAAATCGAGATGGACTAAAGCTTCTTCCATTTGAGTTCGTTGCATTGGAAGCGTGCCTTGAGGCTGCTTGTAGTTCCTTGGATAATGAAGTAAATGAAACTACACTTTGTTACTGCTCAATTTGAGTATTTTCCAATTTCCTTTTTCTAATTTCCTTTTTTTTTTTGGGTTATTTTGAAATAGTTAAGGACATTGGAGCAAGAAGCAGACTTCCAAGATTAGTACTCTCAATTTGGAAATAGTTCGTCAAATTAAAACCCGCTTGGTAGCGATTTCTAGATGAGTTCAAAAGGTTTCCTTCATTAAGCTTGTAACTCTGTTTAGAATGTGTGGTTTAATTTTTGCTTGTGGATTATTTTACTTTTAACCATTAGTTTTTTTGAAATTTTGCTTTTAACCATTGACAACTTTATGCATATGAATTCTATGAGTGTTGACTGAGGAAGTTATGCTATAGGTGATTAGTTCATTATATTTATTTATTTATTTTTGGGTGCAAATTAATTATGTATCAATTGGATTTGTACTGGTTGGATATCAATTGAATGTGCAATTTGGGTATGATATGTTCCTAGGTGTTTTTTGGGGCAGAGGAACATAAAATTAGATTTGATAATGAAATGTGTGAGGCCTAAGAATATTTATATGTTTGAATATGTTAGGTGAAATGTGCAATTTGGGTATGATATGTTCCTAGGTGATATTTGTTTCTCTAGTTTGTTTCTCTAATTTTCAACCCTATCTCTACTTTATTATAATGAAAAATCAAGAACGAAAAAAAGCAAAAACTATTTTTTCATTCTTCAAAAAGAAAAGTGGAGAAGAAACATCAAATTCTAGTCTTGAACCTTTGAGTCTAGTAGAAACATCAACAAGTTTTGATGTTCCTATGATTCCTGCGGCTGTTGAACCTCAAGGTCCTCAACCTCAAACAAAAGTTTCAAGGATTCTTTTTGATGAGAATGAACTTGAACGAGATCCCGCATTGTGCATTTCGATATGGAAATATCCTGTTTATAATCAAGATGAAGTTAGACGTGCTTATATAAAGTGGGGACCAAATCAACCTATCTTGGCTGAGTATCCGAGGACTAAAACTGGAGTTCAAAATCAAAGATTTCAGTAAAGTTGGTACAAAAAATTTCCATGGCTAGAGTATTCTATTTCAAAAGATGCGGCATTTTGCTTTCCGTGCTTTGTTTTTCAAGGTCGTGAACCTCTACATGCTGCATTTACCATTGATGGTTTTAATAGCTGGAAGAGAGTGAATAATGGGGTCAAAAAAAATTTTCTTGTCACATATGGGAGGTCCTACTTTCACACACATGTAGATTGCAATCTTTGTTCTACAATGATTGTGAGTATGCATACTATATTCATTGCATTGCTCATTGTTTACAACTTGCCTTAGTTGCAACTGTTGAAGATGAGATTTCAATATGACAATTCTTTTCCAAATTGACATGCATTGTCAATATTATTAGTGCTTTTCCTAAACATCATACAGAACTGTGATCTGCCCAAGCTACTGAGATTGAAAGGGGATAGTTAGTGGTGAACGAGAAAGGCTAATGATGCACAACTTGCTGCTTACACTGCAATCACATCGTCATATGTGAAAATAAATGAACTACCTTTTTTTGAGCGGAGGTGCTAAAACAGGGAAGATGTTTTTGTATAATACCATGCAACAAAAATGCGTAGCCATGGATATGTTGTTGTTACTATGACTTCATCTGATATTGCTTCATTGTTATTGGTTGGGGGTCGTACTGCACATTCTACATTTTGTATTCCTTTGGAAATGCTTGAAAATTCGATTTGTGGGTTTACTAAACAATCAATACATGCCGAGTTGTTTAGAGAAACAAAATTTAATATGAGATGAAGTTTCTATGCAACATCGATATTGTGTGGAGGCAGTTGATCACACACTTCAAGATATTAGAGATGATGAAAGATCTTTTGGGGGTATCACTATTGTTCTAGGCAGAGACTTTCGACAAATTCTGCCCGTTATACCGAAAAGAGTCTACGAGCAAATTGTGAGTGCATCATTGAGATGGTCTTTGTTATGGAAAAATATACATGTTTTGACTCTGGGTTTAAACATGCGATTAACTCGCATAGACGTCAAAAATGCTAATTTTGCTAACTTCTTGATGGAGGTAATATTTCATTTTACCTTGAATTTCATTACATGATATTTTGATTTAATATTTTACTTTTTGGCTGATTATACTTTCACTTTTTAGATTGACACCAATCCACAAGAAATTGTGCAACTTCCATCTACTATACACAGGTGTCACAGTTTAAATGAATTGATATTTAGAATCTATCCACGATTGAATGTGGCTGGTATAATGACTTTGAACTTTCTCACTGAACGCACCATTTTGTCTGCTTGCAATGATGACGTTAATGATATAAATACTGCGGCACTGAATATTTCTTCAAGAGAAACAATTACTTTTTTAGCTGCAGATAAAATGTTTGAAGGAAATGAGCTTGATCGTACCATTAGGAATCGATATCCTAATGAGTACTTAAACTCGCTGAATCATTAATGATATAAATGCTGCGGCACTGAATATTTCTCCAAGAAAAACAATTACTTTTTTAGCTGTAGATAAAATGTCTGAAGGTAATGAGCTTGATCGTACCATTAGGAATCAATATCCTAATGAGTACTTAAACTCGCTGAATCCTTCAGGGTTGCCACCTTTTAAATTGGAGTTGAAAGTTGGATGCCCAATAATGTTGTTGCGGAATATTGCACCAAAAGATGGACTTTGTAATAGCACGCGACTGATGGTTGTTAGATGTGCCTCACGGGTAATCGAAACCCAAATATTAAATGGAGATAAAATTGACAATTTAGTTTTCATTCCGAGAATATCATTGGCACCAACATCTTTGGACTTGCCTTTTCAAATGACAAGACGTCAGTTTCCTGTCTGGTTAACTTATGCTATGACAATCAATAAAACCCAAGGACAATCTGTCAAGTTCGTTGGGGTTGATTTACGGATACCTGTTTTTAGTCATGGACACCTTTATGTGACACTATCCAGATGCACATCTTCGGATCGTATTAGTGTCCTCCTCCCTGAAGATGGGTCAAATTGCACTGCAAATATTGTTAACCCTGAAGTTCTGTTATAAGATTCTTACAACATTTAAATGGTATAGTTTAAACAAGTTTATTTCTACTTATATGATATTTTCAATGTTTCAACTTTTAGTTTTATAATGACGTTCAATCTTTGCAGGATTGGAGTACATTTGCCAATGAGAACGATAAAATATATACAATGAACTTTTGTGGATGAGGTTGACATAATCAGGTAACTTTACTCTTATGTAACTGCATCAAAATAATTTTACTATTTCTAGAAATATATATTGTGAAAATTTGATTGTTTATGTGAATAAGTTAGGTGGTTGTACATTCACTCCATTGAGCAAAGTGCATTCATATTGATACGAGGACATTTGGGGGACTAATGAAGAGAAGGTTTAGTGAATTGATAATGATGACATTCTCTCTGACAAAATTCAAACAATCTGCAATCCAGTATTGACCCATCCACCTCCAACGACGACTAACCCCTCACTGATCAATCAGTTGTACAGTTAATCCCTTATCTTACTCCCTTTCTTTGTCTATCTCTACTTCTCATATACGCATACAAAACACACGCACACATATTTGTGTATTCATTAGTTTGTTTTAAATAATTTAGTGTAATGGATTTGATAACAATGATTATGTTGATTCTATTTAACGATAATTTGTATATGTCACTCATTGTCAGGTATACATGGAAGCATGCTTGGTGTTAGTTTTAAAGAATATGAAGTTGATGATAATTGTTTCTCTCTTTATACATGGAAGCATGCTTGGTGTCAACTAATTGCACATGCTTATAATGATTTTGGTATGTAATGATGGTTGTTTTGGTGGTTGGATATGTATTAATGGTTTTGGGTATGAAAAGTTGGTTGTTTTGGTGGTTGAATATGTATTGATGATTTTGGAAAAATATAATTGAATCGTTGTGATATGGTGTATTATGATATGATGATTGTTATATGATTGTAAATTTTGTAGACATGTTTAAATTTTTTTTGGGCTTCTATTTTTAAAGGAAACTTTGTTGAAATTTTTGAAAAATATTAGGGATTACCTTAATTTCAATCTTAAAAATTATTTCAAATTAATAACTTTTCTTTTTAAGTTGTAACGGATTTTTTTGTATCAACGTGCCTTCAAGTATGAAAAATTACTAGTTAATGAATATTCTCAAGAAGTACTGCTATGCCACAGGCCAGCTGGTCAATCTGAATAAGTCTATAGTCACGTTCAGTCATAATACTCCAGAATCTCTTCGTCAATAACTTGCCCAACTCCTAAGGATCCCACTATCCCCAAAAGCAGGAAAATATCTTAGTCTACCAATGGAGTGGGGAAGATCCAAAGTACAAACACTTGGGTGGATCAAGGAAAGAATCTTATCCAAGATAACAGGTTGGAAAGAAAAATTTCTAAAACATGTGCGGAAATAGGTCCTTATCAAGCCAGTAGTACAAGCCATTCTAGCTTATGCAATGATCATATTCAAGTTCCCGAAGTCTTTTTGTCAGCAACTTTCTGCCTACATTAAAAGGTTCTAGCAGAACAAAGCATCGAGGGAAAGAGGAATTCATTGGAAGGCTTGGAGCGCACTAGCAAAAAGTAAGGAGGAGGGAAAATTAGGATTCAGAGACTTTGAGAATTTTAACAAGGCATTGTTGGCTAA